AAATACTCATCTCAGACTTAAAAGTTTAAATCCCCTAATATTTATAAGCGGTCAACAACGAAAATTCTGTAAGAAATAATGATAAAACTATATGTACAGAATTTAATATGAAATTGGTAAGCTGCAATCCTTGGGTTTAATTAATAAGCTGATCAATAATAAATGAAAATAGCTTGCATTTAGTTTAATTTAATAATTAATGATACTAATATATATGCAAGTTTATAGTAATATTTGTTAAATTAATCAGCATATGTAAATATATGAAAATTAGGGTAAATTTATGAATTGGAATCAGCTTCAAAAATTGTTCATCACTATTTGACATCTTATGAATTTTCAATTATGATCTTCATTGCTTGAAATTGTTTGTTTAATAGAAGAAGAGTGCATTTTATTACTTATATTATTATTAAGGTTTTACTATATCTAGAGAATTTGTGCTTTCGGAATGAATATTGTTAAGAAGTAATAGACTTTAAGCATTTTTCTTGTAAAGATTTTGATATTTGAATGAAATAAATTAAATATTTGATGATGTCTGGAAAATTAAAATTGTTTAAACTGGGATACTTCTCTATGTATAGAAGAAAATGTTAATAAAAATGTATAGTATTTATAATCCCGTTAATTGTGTTTATGAATAGAATTCTAGATGAAAGAAAAAGATGGAGCAAATATTATATTTTGGATGTTTGATAGAATTAGTAAAATAAACTACTTATCTATTTTAAATTTCTCATTCTAATAGATTATATCTTGTATTGATGTTACTTTATCTAATTAAATTTTAATGGTTGTTGAGAATTGGTTGATTTTATTACTTGTGATACTCTATTAATTGTAAATGAATTTTTTTGTTACAAAAATGTAAATATATATCCTGAGCTTATGTATGTTTATTAATTTTTTCAACTATAAATTCTAAATTCAAATGATAATCTCCATAAATTAATAAAAATTGAGGTAATCTTACATCGATCAATAAAGATGCTTGTAAAATTAATACACTGCGTATGTGGAATAAATATGAATTAGATTAAAAAATTGATATTTGATAAATTAAAAATATCACTTAATGCAGACCAAGTATTAAATATTATGTTGATATAACACTGAGTTCTAATACAAATAAAAAAGTAAAAAATTAACGCTATAGCTTGATTAGATGAAATAAATAAAGCATTTAAAAAATGACTATGCAATATCATTTTGATAGAAATGGAGGTAACAAAACTATAGTAGAATTTTTTGATAGCGCAGATGGTGGTGTTATTATGCTGGAATGCAAGAACATTAAAAAATGTATGCAGTGAAAAGAAAAATTGAGTGGCATATAAGTGCTAGTTTAATTGTTAACATTTAATACTCTATAACTGCAAAAGTAGTTTCACTAATAGATTTAGTAAGATATACTTTACTATGCTAAGACAACATATTAATCATTCAGAATAACTCAAGAGTTTATAAATGAATAATACTCAGAATTGTACTTATTTAATACAATTGTATGTCCAAAAACATTTTTATTTGATCCTTTTGGAATATTTGTTAAAATTCCTTTAGAAATTAAAAAAATATAGATTAAATCCTAAATGATTAGGATCTTTCCTCTCCCATTAATCTTCATACAAATAAAATCTTGCTAATAATGATCTACCTTAATGTAAAGATGATTTAATATCACTTATATCTTTTAACTCTCTACATTATAATCTAAAGTTAGAGCAAGTTTAGTTTACTCAACTATCTTAAATATATTACCGCCGTTTGCTCCACTTTTCTAAATTAAATCGTCTCTATTTCATTAGCATAACATGTTCCTTCTTCCTATTTTTGAGCTTCATATTCAATTAATTAAAACATCTCATCCATCCTTTATTTTCATGAAATAATTAAAAAATTATTCCATTTTTTTTGAATCATTCCCCTTATAAAAATAACCTACTTTTTCCAGTTAATGATAATTTAATATTGAGCTTTGTTTGATAGAAAGCAAAGGATATTCAAAGTTAGAAACTACTAAACTCATTTCTAACATTTTTTTTGCTCCAGCAATTCTATTCATTTTAGAGTTTCGAGATATGTATATCAAAAGGATAAATTTTCAAGTATCAGTTAATATAAACAAACTGAATTAATTATTTGCTATTTAGAAACTAAAGTGTAATAAATAAAGATTAGTGAAATATTGTAATATCACGAAACTAGGTGATATTAAGGAAGTGCTTTATGATTCTCTTGGAATTTTTAATAATGCAAAAAGCATTAAAATAATTAAAATATTCTACACAGATAACTTGAAAAGGAAAATGAAATATAATTTAAGAAGAAGTCACATAAAATTTATCAATTATTTATAGATAGTCAAATTTCTCAAGAATATTTTAATAAAGATGAATTTGTATGATACAGTGGACAGATATTAACTAATAGTGATGAAGAGAGTATGAATCGATAATGATCAAACAATATTTTTGATAGCCCACTTTGATGAAATGTGCTACTAAACTCAAAGGTATCTTAAGAATAAAAAAAAAAAAAATTATAAGATAGTATGAATGATCTTTAATTTCCATTAGAATGAAATTTTAAAAATGAGAATAACGAAAGCAGTTCGAGAATGAAAAGTAAGAATAAAAAGAAAGATTGTAACCGAGATAATAAATATCAAAATTTAATTAAATTGATGGATATCTTATTTTTATGTTTCTTTTTTAGATTTTAAATGAATGGATATCTTAATTTTGCTGTGTCAGGAATATGAAAAAAATTCACATTTATTTTCAAACAGGGAAGCGATCATAAATTTGAATTTTTTCTAGAAAATATCAACCATGAAAATACTTTGTAATGGTTATAATTCTTAGACCAAATTTACAAGAATTTAGAAAAAACTCCAATAATACCTTTAAAAAATAAATTTGAAATAATTCTTATAATTTTCTTTAACTTCATTAATATTTTGACTTAATAGTTCTTAATAAAAATCACATAATTTAATTTGATAATAAAAAATTTTAAATAATAATCTAAATTAATTTTCTTGCTTCTGCAGAAGTTATAATAAAACAAAAATACTCTTTTATTTCTTTCATGGAGT